CTGAAGTTCCTACCAAGCAAGACTTGCTGGCTTGTGGAGTCGCGGAGCCAGCTATATGCTATCTTCAAGAGACTCATCTCATACATGCAATGATACAGACGGGCTCAAAGTAACAGGATGGAGAAAAATCTACCAAGCAAACAGAAAACCAAAATAAATAAATAAATAAAAAGCAGGGGCCACTATTCTAATTTCAAACAAAACAGACTTTAAGCCAACAGCAATCAAAAAATACAAAGAAGGGCACGATAAAGTGTTCAATTCGATGAAAAGACTTAACTCTTCTAAATATATATGCAGCCAACACAGGAATTATTTGTGCACCTAGGAAGAGCCAGGGAGCACTGAGATTCATAAAAATTAGTTCTTAGAAACCTATGAGGAGACTTAAATTCTCACACATAGTGGGAGACTTCAACACTCCACTGACAGTATTAGGCAGATCATCAAGGCAGAAAGCTAAAAAATATTTGGGACATGAACTCTACACTTGACCAAATAGAACTAACAGACATCTACAGAACTCTCCACCCCAAAACACAAAACAACAGAGTATATATTCTCATCACCACATGGTGCATACTCTAAAACTGACCACATAATTGTTTTTGACAAAAAAAAATTCTCAACAAATTTTTAAAAATTGAAATCATACCAACCACACTCTTGAACCACAGCACAATAAAAATAGAAGGAAATACTAAGAAGATTGCTCAAAACCATAAAATTACATGAAAATTGAACAACCTGATCCTGAATGACTGCTAGGTAAATAATGAAATTAAGGCAGAATTTTTTTTAAAGTCTTTAAAACCAAGGAAAACAAAGATACAACATACCAGAATCTCTGCAACACAGCTAAAGCAGTGTTAAGAAGAAAGTTTATAGCATTAAATGTTCATATCGAAAAGTTAGAAAGATCTCAAATTGATGATATAACATCGCACTTAGAAGAACTAGAAAAACAAGAGCAAACCAACCCCAAAACTAGAAGAAGGTAAGAAATAACCAGAATCAGAGCTGAACTGAAAGAAATTGAGGCATTAAAAAAAATACAAAAGATCAATAAAATAAGAATTTGGTTTCTTGAAAAGAGTAAATAAGATAGAATACTAACTAGACAAACACAGGAAAAAAAGAGAGAAAATCCAAACAAACACAATCAAAATTGACAAAAGGGACATTATCAGAGATACAAAAAAATTCTCAGAGACCATGATGAACACCTCTAGGCACACAAACTAGAAAACCTACAAAATGTGGAAAAACTGCGGAAAGCACAACTGCCCCAAATTGAACCAGGAAGAAATTCAAACCCTGAACAGACTAATAATTAGTTCTCAAATTGAGTCAGTAATAAAATAAATTCCATGTGATTTTGTGATTTTGAGCAAGAAAAAGCCCAGGATCAGATGAATTCACAGCCAAATTCTACCAGACGTATAAAGAAGAGCTGCTACCATCCCTACACAAAACTACTCCAAACAATTGAGGAGCAGGGACTCCTCACTAACTCATTCTATGAGGCAAGCATCATTCTCATATCAAAGCCTGGCAGAGACACAACAAAGAAAAAACTGCAAGCCAATATCCCTGATGAACACAGATGCAAAAATCCTCAACAAAATACTAGCAGACTGAATCTACCAGCACATCAAAAAGCGGATCCACCATAATCAAGCAGGCTTTATCCCTAGAGTGCAAATTTGGTTCAACATGTGCAAATCAGTAAATGTCACTTACCACATAAACAGAACTAAAAACAAAAACCACATGATCTTCTCAACATATGCAGAAAAGGCTTTTGATAAAATTCAATATCTCTTTATGTTAAAATTCCTTAACAAACTAGGTATTGAAGGAACATACCTCAAAATAATAAAGGCTGTCTATGACAAACCCACAACCAACATCACACTGAACAGGCAGTAGCTGGGAGAATTCCCCTTGAGAACTGGAACAAGGATGCCCACTCTCATCACTCCTATTCAACACAGTACTAGAAATCTTAGCCAGAACTATCAGGCAAGAGGAGGAAATAAAGGCATCCAAATAGGAAAACAGGAAGTCAAACTATCTCTGTTTAGAGAGGGTATGATTTTATACCTAGAAAACCCTGTAGTCTCTGCCTAAAGGCTCCTAGATCTAAAAACAACTTCAGCAAAGTTTCAGGATACAAAATTGAGGTACACAAATCGGCAGGATTTCTTTACACCAACAATATCCAAGCTAAGGGCCAAATCAATAATGCAATTTCATATACAATAGACACATATACACACAGAAACACCTAGAAATACAGATAACCAGGGAGGTGAAAGATCTCTACAACAAGAATTACAAAACACTGTTGAAAGAAATTGAAGCTGACCCAAGCAAATGAAAAAACATTCCATGCTCAAGGACAGGAAGAACCAATATTGTTAAAATTGCCATATTACCAAAAGCAATCTCCAGATTCAATGTTATTCTTATCAAACTATCCATGTCATTTTTCACAGAATTAGAAAAAAAACTATTCTAAAACTTATAAGGAACTTTAAAAAAGCCCAAATCACCAAAGCAATCCTCAGCAAAGGGAACAAAGCAGGAGGCATCACACTACCTCACTTCAAACTATACTACAAGACTACAGTAACCAAAACAGCATGGTAATGGTACAAAAACAGACACATAGACCAACAGAACAGGATAAAGAACCCAGAAATAAAGCCACACATCAACTACAACCTACCAATCTTTGGCAAAGGTGACAAAAATAAGCAATGGTGAAAGGACTTCCTATTCAATATAATGATTCTGGGATAACTGGCTATCTAGATGCCAGAATGAAATTGGACGCCTCCTCATTACCATATACAAAAATTAATTCAAGAGCGATTAAAGACTTAAATGTAAGACCTCAAACTATAAAAACTCCCAGCACTTTGGGTGGCCAAGGCAGGTGGATCGCCTGAGCTCAGGAGTTCAAGACCAGCCTGGGCAACATGATGAAACCCGTGTTTACCAAAAAAAAAAAAAATTAACTGGGTCCAGGTGTGGTGGCTCATGCCTGTAATCCTAGCACTTTGAGAGGTTGAGGCGGGTGGATCATGAGGTCAGGAGTTCAAGACCAGCCTGGCCAAGATGATGAAACCCCATCTCTACTAAAAATACAAAAATTAGCCAGTCATGGTGGTGGGCACCTGTAATCCCAGCTACCTGGGAGACTGAGGCAGAGAATTGACTCAACCCAGGAGGCAGAGGTTGAAGTGAGCCGAGATGGTGCCACTGCACTCCAGCCTGGACAATAGAGTGAAACTCCATCTTAAAAAAAATACTAGCTAGGCATGGTAGCACACATGCCTGTGGCCCCAGCTATTCAGGAGGCTGAGGTGGGAAGATTGTTTGAGCCTGGGAGGTGGAGGTTGCAGTGAGTCAAAATCACACCTCCAAACTCCAACCTAAGGGACAGGAAAAAAAAAATTATGGAACTAAATAGTGTTAAGAATGTCCTAAATGTTACTCAATTATACACTTTAAAGTGCTTAATCTTATGTGAATTTTTCCTCAGTATTGAAACTTTTTCAAATTCTTGAAAAAAAGAAATATGTAACATATATAAATATATACATAAACATAAATATGTATAGTATAAAAATTTGTAGCATACATACATAATCTCACTGCCATTTGGGGCTAGCTTACCAATAAGGCAGAAGCAAACACATAAAAAATAAATATACATATATACATACATACACATAAATATGCATGTTTATAAATTTAGAAATACAAAGCATAGGTGACTATGCAAGGAAACATATTTATGAGCATATAAATATATAGGTAACATACATAAATATATTTAATATAGAAATTTACACATATATATGTAGCACTCTGCCACTCTGGCATACTTCACTCATGCAAAGTAGAAGCAAACATATACACCCACATACAAGTGTATCCACATATGTATGTTTTTATATATGGACATACAACTACTTATATTTATTAATATATATGGAAATACATAAAAAAGTAAATCTATACATAAAGGTATTGTTAAGTTGAATTATCTTTGTCGTAAAGCTGCTTCCGTACTTATTTTAAGTTTGGCCTAACAAGTTCTCTATACATAGCTAGTTGTAACCTAACTTAATGTGTAAAAATAACTGTAACTTAACCTAAGACTATAACCTTATAACACGTAACTGAGTCTCAGCCAATGAAAACAGCTGAGCCTTCAGCCAATCAGAGGCTGAAAGCAGCCAAAACATGACTATATAAGGCAAATGCCAACAGCAGCCAATCAGGCTGTTTCTGTGCTCTTCTTTTTCTCTGGCTGTAAATATAACCTGCACATATGGTGTCATGGAGCATTCTGAGCCATTTTTGGTGCAAACTACTGCCTGATTCCTAAATTGTTTCTTTGCTCAAAAAAACTCTGCTAAATTTAATGTAAATAAGGGTTTTTTAAGCAGATTAGTGTGGGAAATGCAATCTGAAGTAGAACTTCCATCAAACCCCAGAAGCACGAAGTGCCCAAGCGCAGCGACCCACCAGGCCCATTGTGCACAGCGATCTCTCACAGCAGAGAGATCCTGGGCAAGTTCTCTTTCAAATTTTGAAGCTCCAAGGATTTGTGTTTTGAGCTATACATTCATTTAAGCAAATTTTTTTATCCAGACTGGGTTTGGAAGTTGATTCTGAAATAATAAATAAAAGCTAAATAAGATCTTTAAACTAAATTTGTTGTAATTTCGTCTTTTGAGAATTCTGGCAAACTGAATGGGATCCACCTCCCAAGATCCCTTGAGGAATATAGGAAAGACACTGCTGGCCCCTCTGTCCTCTTCCTCTTAGTCCAGACTCTGTTCTCTTTGCATTGAACCTTGATCCTTTCGGGTTTCGAATTCCAGAGTTTTGTACTGTGAGAAGGCAAATGACCTTGTGGTGGGTGCCAATGGCCAGTTTGTGCTGTGAGAGGACATACGGCCTTTTAAGGTTTGGGTAGCTGATAAGTCATTGGCAAAAATTGGACTAAGTCCAGCATCAAATTGGATTTGACGGGGAACTGTATTGAATCCAGGTAAGAGGCCGCTCAGTCTGATGATCAGATGGAAACTGGACTGGATTCAGTAGACAGGTAAGTTTCACCTCCCTAAAGATAACCTAGAGGTACAGTGGCCATACTCGGGAAACCATTACAAAGGTAAATAGGTGCATGTCTTCCCAGCTACAACAACTGCAGGGATTGAGAGTACTTGTACCAGGCCACTGAGAAAAGAAGTGTCTACTTTTACAGCAGCCATCTCATGGGTCATCCCTCTGGCCTGGACTGTTTCCCCACTAAAGGAAGCCCCTAGAGGTGTCACTCTTGGGACAACTATCGACTAATCTAATCGCCCGCTCTGGTTTTTTTTTTTCTCTCTCTCTCTCTCTCTCTTTGATCCTACTTCTCCCATGGGAACCTCTCAGTTGACTGAAACCACTCTTTTCAAACCCTTGCTGCCATTTCTTTCTTCTTATTGTCATGAACTTTGCTATGTCCCCAAAGTTTTACTTAGTGAAAATAAGCCTTTGTGACTTAATTTCCATGTTGAGAAGAGGAGGGTGACCAGTAGCCAGGCCAGTCCTAGAATTAAATATGCCACCAAATTCATTAATTTCCTACAGTGTTAAGAGAGAAGCACTATCAGTGCCAGTGACCGTGTAACATGGATTTAAGCTACAAGTCATAGAACTGTGATGAGAAGCCTCGGTGCTGAAAAGCAGAGGGTAGAGGAAAGCATTTCCTCTCCTCTCTCGAATCAGCTTTCCCAGGTATACTTCTTGAAGAATAAGAAGTTGAAGTGTTCAGGACTTTTATACCGGTTCTACTTTGGCTTAGTTTAAATGATTCTTACTTCATTCGCCTAGAAATGGCCAAGAAAACTTAAGGCTCAATAATTAGTTATAAATATAAAATACCCCCAATTTTTAAGATAGAAACAACTTATAAATGTATTTGTCTGTAAAAATTGTGTATTGTTTTACAGAAAGTCTATTTCTTTGAAACAAAGGGAGGGGAGTCTCACATTACATTAGTTTTCTGCTCTGTCACCCAGGCTGGAGTGCAATGGTGGGATCTCAGCTCACGGCAACCTCCGCTTCCTGAGTTCAAGCAATTCTCCTGCCTCAGCCTCCCGAGTAGCTGGGATTACAGGTATGTGCCACCATAACCTGCTAATTTTTGTGTTTTTAGTAGAAACGGGGTTTCACCATGTTGGTCTGGAACTCCTGACCTTGTGATCTGCCCACCACAGCCTCCCAAAGTGCTGGGATTAAAGGCCTGAGCCACCACACCTGACCAAGGAACCTATTTCTTGCCACTTTTCTATGTTAAACTCTGTCCTGGTCAGTTCTAGAGTGTATGCAGAACCAAATGATGTAATTGTATGCGACCTGGCTGTCGTGGAACAAATATGACTCATAAGTATGCAGACTCTAACTGTCCTGTCTGGTTTGGTAAGTATTCCTTAGATAGGTTTTTCTTTGAAAGCCTGGGATTGAGAGGTTGATGAATGAAAATTAATCCTTTCACTTTGTTGTATATAGGTTTGCAATAATTAGATCACAGTGGAGTTTTAAGGTCATGAGGGGGGCTGATGACTTACAAATAATGGGCTCTGATTGGGCAACTACTCATCTGAGCTCCTTCCATTTGATCCAATTAAGCTCGTAAAATTTACGCTAAGCCCATGAGCTCATCTTTAGAAAGTTTTTACTAACAGATTTTCAGCTGTTCCAAATGGGACTTATTAGCGGAATGTGTTTAAAAGGATAATATCAGATGGATGAAAGGTATTTGATCACTTGTTTCCTTAATAAATTATAAAATGATGACTTGGAAAAACAGACTAGAGTCTAACCACAGTGCTATTATTAGGCTTTCTTGTTAAACATAGGTCTAAGCCTAAGTATGTCAATACAACAAATACTGTTTCATTTCTATTAAAAACAAAAACAAAAAAACAAGTCTTTCTAGCATAAGGACGATTTTCATCTGGTTATTTTGAAACACTTTTGTAAGATGAATTTACATCTATAAAGAAAATTTTTATTTGTAAGGAGGAGTATGTCTCTGGGCACTGGAGGAGAGGGAGGACTAATCACTAGGAACTCTTATGATAAAGAAGCCATTGGCTTAAATCAGCAAAACGAGCCGTCCCTTTGTTTAAGGTATTTTTCTGGCCATCTTGTCTTAACTAGAACTGTACCTCCACCCTCCTTTTTGGTTTAGGCAAATGACAATATCTAAACCTGAAGTCTCAGCTCTGTGCCCTCTACCATGTCTTCTCTGGAACCTGATAACTATCTCTTTAAAATGCAAGACTCGTCAGAAAAAGAAGAAAAAAGAGGTATCTGGAAATTGCGCAAATTAAAGCAGCCGCTGATGCCAAAGGCCTGAAGAGCACTTGGATGACAGACACCTGAGGAGCCAGGTGCCCGAAACCTCGTCCATCTGCTTGAGGGGAACCAAAGCCCAGGTGCTGGCTGGACGGCCCCTTCTGGCTGCCTAAGCAGGGGGCGGAGGAAGAAAACCAGGTCAGAGGCAGAGTATTGAACCCTGTCTCCCAGCTAGGTGGAAGATGCCTGTTGCCAAACTAGGGCTCAGCTTACCAGTGAGGAGGGTGAACTGGTGACCCCCTAGAGAGTGGACCTCAAAGCCACACAGCCCCAGACTTCCCTAGGCCAGCGAAGGAGAGAAAGGGTTAACGTTAACAGCACAAGGCCCACTCTAGCCTTAACCTCTGCAATGCAAACCCTTCCCTTGGAAACAGAAACATGACAAGGAATTCTGAGGTCAGGGGACAAGAACCATAAGTTCCCTAGTGGGAGATTGAGGAGGCAGGGTCCCTCCTGCCCTTGGTCTACTGGCTAAGAACCTTCCTCAGCCTGACCTTTCCACATTGCACTTTCAGATCTGTTTGCAATATTCCTCTCTTAGTGCTGAGGAAATCACAGTGTCAGATCCTGAAAGGGTGGTTAAAAGAAACCTCAGCAAGAGAAGCAGAAAATGTTTCCTCTTCCTGAAAAACTGTAGAAAGGCAGGCACCATTCTGGGTGAGAACATGGTCCCTTATGTTTTATTGATTTATTTGTTTATTTTGAGATGGAGTTTCACTCTTATTGCCCAGGCCAGAGTACAGTGTGTTGCAATCTCTGCTCACTGCAACCTCCACCTTTTGGGTTCAAGCGATTCTACTGCCTCAGCCTCCCGAGTAGCTGGGATTACAGGTGCCTGCCACGACGCCTGGCTAATTTTTTGTATTGTTAGTAGAGATAGGGTTTTGCCATGTTGCCATGTTGGTCTCGAACTCCTGACCTCAGGTGGTCCACCCCGCCTTGGCCTCCCACAGTGTTGAGATTACAGGTGTGAGCCACTGTGTCCGGCCTGCAAATGTCTTTAAAGACAGCGCATTTCAGAGGCTGTGGCAGTGCCCTGTGAATGTACCAAAGCCCCCAGTCCTGGGAGCTCTGAGGGGCAGGCCCAGCTCCTTGCCAGGCTAACAGTACTGAAACCCTGCTCTTCAAGACATAACCTGATGACCCTGCAAGTTTCTTAATTGACTGTGGACTGTGAGAGTCTGCATCTCATGTTAATTAAGACAGGAAAAAATAGAACAAAAGAGCAACTCCCAGGTTATAGAGAAAATGGATTTTAATATAATATTCAAGTGTGGCATTGCTAATAACAACAAACACTTCCCCTCCCAAATGGCAAACACCTACACTGGCCTATTACACAAAAATTCAACCACCTTCCCTCTGCCCCGCATATCCCCTCCCCAGTAATCCCTCTCTCATGCAGCCTCATGAACCTGGGCAGTGATGAATGGCACTTTCAGGGGCATGAGACTCCATGTGAGTGGGACTCAGCTGGGACCCCTCTCTGTGTGGAAGCTGGAAGAAGCTGCCCTAATACCAGCTGAAAGTGTCAGTGACATCCCTGCTGCTGAGGTACAGCCTGCCTCTGAGCTGGTCTCAGGGTGAGCTGCTGCTTGTAGTGGGCTCTGCCTTGAGGGCCTGATGGCTGGTCAGAAGGTCAGGCACACATGCGTGCCTTCCCAAGAGCTCAGGCCACCTCCCTACCACAGTCCCTGCACTGTGTGCTCCAGGCATGTGCTGAGTGACTGGTCAATCACCAGTGCCCCACTGATCCCAGTCCCCAGAGAGATCATTTAGCATCACTTCATTTCACAGAGGGGGGAAACTGAGGCCCAGAGAAGTAAGGTGACTCTCCCCAGTCATAGGGTTGGTCAGCAGTAGGATGGAGTCTAGTCCCTTGCTGTCTGACTCCCTGAGCCTACCCATAGCCCAAGGGAGCCAACCTCTGGCCACCTTGGTCCAGGCCCCCTATCGTGGGTGATATCTGTCTTCTCAGCCTTTGTGCTCATAGCCAGCTGGGATGGAGCTTCCAACTGGCATGACAGGTTGTAGCTACAGACAGAAGAGTGGCTGTGAGGCAACCAGCAGTCTCACCAGGATGCCCTCCCAGGGCCTGTCCAGAGTGGGATCTGGGTTCCAGGCATTGCCAGACCACAGGGTCTGATGCTGACCAAGAGGCCATGGCCACAGACTTTCTGGAGCTGGCCCCCAGGGAGAGTTCAATCCTACTGTCCCAATTCCTGCCCTGGCCTTACCTCTCAGTCTTGCTGAGCTGCTTCATGGTCCCAAACCAGGACCCAAAGTGCTGCTTGGACTTGAGGTTGTAATTATTTGCAACCAACCGGAGCAGCAGACCTCCTTGGTTACTTTGAATTCCTGGGGCCAGAGGGAAAAACAGGGTGGTGTCAGGGCCTGGCCAGGGATGCTGGAGGGGCCTGTCAGGGTATTAGATGGAGTGACCAGTCTTTGTTCAAAGGGAACCCCTTCCTCCTCTTCAGTCCTGTCTAGACCTCACCTGTTCTCAGAGCTGCTTCAAACAGCCACTCCTCCAGAAAGGTGTCTGTGGTTTCAACCTGGTACTCCCACCTGCCCGTCTTCCTAGAGCCCCTATTCCTTCTCTCTGTATCCCCATAAATCTAAGATGAGGGGGATGGATCTGCCCACTGCTGCTCACCTTATGACGCTTGTGAGGTTGATCAGTTTCCCCTGGAAGGCCGACAGCCAAAGTCCATCAGAAAGGGTCCTCTGGCCCAGAGCCAGCCCCTGACCACCCCTGTCATGCTGCATGCAGGGTGCAAGACCCAGGTCAGGTCTGGGTGACAAGAGGGGGACAAAGGGGCTGAGGCTCAGGGACCTTCTAGCTTAACCTCTCTGAAGATAGCTGGGGAAACTGAGATCCCAGGCAGGAAGGTGTGGCTCTGTGAGATTATTCTCATTAACCTGGAACATTTTTGCAAGCTGTTAGGTATAGGAAGTCTGTCACAGGTAAGAGAAATGCTTTTCTAGAGCATGAGAGACAGCAGGGCTGTGACAATATTGAAGCACCACTGTGCAGGTTCACCAGCTGCCATAACTGAGAGCCACTGCAGATGCATGGCCCTCCCCTGCAACCTCTGGACCTCCGCATGGTCTGGTCCTAAAGGGTTGTGCCTCAAGACAGGGAACAGGGCTCTCAGGACCCCCTGCCCCACTCCAAGTTCTGCCTCTGCTTCGTTTGCTGACATTCAGATTGTCACCAAATATAAGGATGTTAGCAGGAAGACTCATTCAATACAAGTGGGTTTAGACACAGAAAGAACAAAAGGGGTTGAAAAGCCCCTTTTGTTTTTATTTTTTTATTTTGGAAAAATACTTTTATTGTGAAAATTCACATACATATAGTAAAACATTCAATCAATGCAAAAGATAGACAATGATCAAATGAGTTCCCCTTCCACTCTAGATCCCCACCCCAGATCCAGACCTCCTGAGCCCACTTCCCCGTCTCATCACAGATCCAGACCTCCTGAACCTGTTTCCCCAGTCTCATCACAGATTTAGACCTCCTGAACCCACTTCCCCAGTCTCATCACCAATGATTTCTCGGACATCTGCGTTAGTTTTCTATTGCTGCTACAACAAATGGCTACAGACTCAGTGGCTTCCATTTACTATCTTATAGTCGTGGTGGCCAGAAGTCCTAAGAGGATCTCACTGGACTAAAAGTGCTGCTGGGGCTGTGTTCCTTCTAGAGCTTCAAGGGAAGAATTGGGTCCCTGCCTTTCCCAGCTTCTGGAAGGTTTGTGGCCTCCTTCCATCCTCAAAGCCAGCAACAGTAGGTGGAGACCTCATCCATCACGCATCACTTTCCCTTCTGCCTCCTTCAATTTTTTTTTTTATATTTATGGAAACGAGTGCAGGATTCTTACACAGTCAAAAAGCTCCTTATAGAGAAGCTTGGAACTTTCAATACAGCTTGCATTTTTGCCGTTTAAATTTTCCATTTAATTTAAATGTATTCTCCCATTTGACCTTCATACTCTCTAGAGAAATATTTCTGTTTCAGCTTGTATTGACAAGCTGCTTGCACACAGCCCCCCAGCACCCAACCACCCAGCAGAGATCCTCATTCCCATGAAACAGTTAAAGCAACTGAGGCCCAGGGAGGCTAAGAGTCCTGCTGGGGTCATTCAGCTTCCAAAATAAGGAGCCAGTTCCAGATCCGGGTTTGTGCAGCTCCAAGCTCCTGCATCTTTCTACCATGGTAGACTTAGACTATGGCAATCTAGCAAGTGTGGCCACACAATGGCCTAGTTGGATTTAGATGGCGTTCTCTATAAATCCATTCTCCTCTCCCATGTAAGCAAGGCAAAGTACTCCAGGCCATGGGGAGTCCCTGAAGACTCAATGAACTACAGTGGCAACATCAGGAGGTTGCAGGTTGACCAGAACTCACCAACACAGCAGGAGAGCAGCGTGGAATCTGCAACCCAGCCAAGACCCTGTGCCTTGGATTGGGGGAGAAAATATGTGGCCATTTCTCTCTCTCTCTCTCTCTGCTGGCTAGGGGGGATTCTGGCTTTTCCTGCCAGAGCCACCCCTTTCCCTCTTCCTGGAGGGATGGTGGCTCTTTAAGGAAGGGAAAAGAGAAGTGCACAGTGTAATAGGGCAGGGAGAAAAGGAAACAGAGGAGAGGAGGGGACTTTCCCATGAGAAGGCAGAAGAAGAAAAGGCAGTTATGGTGTGTGATGGACATGGGTGCAGTGGTGTACAAAGTGGGGTCAGCACTAGAGGAGAGACAGAGAGAGAGACAGAGAGTACTGATCCTTATGATTAGCATGGGATCTGCCTGCAAATGCTGTTTAGGACCATCTCCTCTTCCTGTGCTGCTGTTTTTGAGAGTGATGCTCCTGAGCCCCATGACTCAGTCAAACTTGATGTCCTCTTGAGGCAGATTCAGTGCTGGGAGTCCGTCATGACCTGCCTGGAACTTTCTACATTGAGAACAGGGCAGATCTTGACTCCAATACAGGGGCTGAGTGTAAACAGGCAACAGCTGGGTTTCTGAGTCAGAAAGACTTGGTTAATTGCTAATTGCTTGGGTGAGTAATTTAATTTTGTTGAGTCAGATTCCTCAGCTATAAAATGCAGATGACAATACTTATTCCTCTGGGTTGTGAGGAGAATGGAAATGCTAAACACGATGTCCACTTCACAGAAAGATACCAATTTGATGGCTTGTTTTCCTTTTTACCTTCAGATGTGACTATCCCTGCCACCAAACACCCTTGACTCTCAAGTGGATGGGGTCCCATTTGCACAGGAGGGACCTTACGGCCTACATTGAGTCTATGATTACCACTTAGTGAGCACTGTATCCCCTCAGGGGCCTCTGCATCATCTTTCCTCCCCACCATTGCATCTGCACATGTTCCCCTCCTTGGGTTGGGCCTCTGATCAGTGACAACCTTGGTATGGTTGTGATGGTTAGTCTTTCCATCAAATGAGCTAGGTTATATCATCAGTTATTCAATAAAACACTAATGTAGGTGTCACCCGGAAAGTATTTTGCGACCTTGTTATGCACTTGTTACAAATGCACATGATGCATTTACTACAGCATAGCATTTGGCCTGTGTGCCAGCCTGGAGTGTGCCCGACAGATCATAGCCATGTTAGTCCCACAGTCACAGGGGCCAATCGATTAAAAATAAAATCCTAATCCCCACAACTAACTTGACAGACCCCCTCTCGACCAATGAAACCTCAAATAAATCTTACAATTGAGTTCCTGGCCATGACAGAAAGGAGGTAAGACACACCTCCCTGTACCTCACTCCTTCTCACGGTTTAGACTCAACAACTGAACAGCGTTAATGTTAAAAAGAACACTCTTTTTGGCAATGAGATCCCAAATTATAAACAGGACCTAGGGCCATGCCAGGCAAGGGTTAAATTATGCACCCTACACTTAAAGAATAAGCTAAGTTCTAACTACCACATGGTTTTTATTTTTTCTCTAGCAGCCAAGCAGGCACTGGCCTTGAGAGAAGCAAGATTAAAATAACTACAACTCACCCAGTTCACAGACGCTGAGTAACTGCCCTCCTGCTCCACCAACCTTACTGACAGCTTTCACTGGACAAGGGACTGATTGCAGTAACTTTCTCCTCATAAGAGACCATCCTCCATGGACTGGTTCTGGCCAGTTTTACAGAGGCTGTGTGCCTTTACAGAGGCTGAGTAATTTCATGTCTCTGCTTCACTTTTTGATGTGTAGGACACAATTATAATACATTTAAATGTCAAGTCTCCCCTGAAAAAATGAACATGCTTGTTTATTTAATATGCATATGTTAGGACCTCTTTTATGAGTATTCTCATAAAATGATATAGCTCCTCTGATATCCTGTTGAATATGTATATGTGGCCAACCCATTGGCTCAAATTCCTGTCCTCTCCTTCTCCATGGAAGTACGTGCTTCTGGCTTTGCCTGGAGGCCACACTTCCCAGCCTGTCATAATGGCCACCTTGCAGAAGAAATAAAGCTCTCTTTTCTAAATTTATAAATTGTGTGACTTTTCAGTTGATGGTCTCTTTCCACACACATGCAATTTATACAGAAAAAATCTGGAGACTATAGTGGCAATGGACATTAAGTATGTGACACCATGGTGGAAGTAACATAAAGTTGGATTAGGCCAAATTTATTAATGTGGGCCCACTAAACAGAGATCCTGGATTTGGGGTTGTAGGTCAAAGCTTTAGAAAAGGCTCCAAGGGTTGGTTTGATCAGTTACTTGCTTGGTACCTTGCTTGGTTGTTTGGTTGAATTGTTGCTTGGTGCCTTGCTTGGTTGTTTGGTTGAATTGTTGCTTGGTGCCTTGCTTGGTTGTTTGGTTGAATTGTTGCTTGATGCCTTGCTTGGTTGTATGGTTGAATTGTTGCTTGGTGCCTTGCTTGGTTGTTTGGTTGAATTGTTGCTTGGTGCCTTGCTTGGTTGTTTGGTTGAATTGTTGCTTGGTGCCTTGCTTGGTTGTTTGGTTGAATTGTTGCTTGGTGCCTTGCTTGGTTGTTTGTTGGTTGGTTGGTTTCTTGCTTGCTTGCTTGTTTGTTTGCTTGGTTGGTTGGCTGAAACAGAATCAGAGTTTACCTAATGTACATAAAGTTGAAATGCCACAACTTCCTTGGTTTATGTGTGGAGGAAACTATGCAAAAATTTAAGGATATTGGATTTATTATGTCAAACCTGCTCACTCACACTGGAGAATCTAGAGAACATACTTCTCACAATAATCATGAGAAAGAATATTGTGGGAGGAGCCCAGTATCCTGGAAGAGCTTTGAGCTTGTGCTCTCAGTAGGCAAAATGTTACAGCAGGAACTGCTGCCACTGGACTGTGATCTTTGAATAAAATAAGGATAATCGAACCCTGGGGTGGCAGGGAACATGGGCTGTCCTTAATCACCAAAGATGAGGTGGGTGTGGTCACCACAGTGGAAAGCAGTGTCAGAGCAGCAGTCAGAATAGTTCGATTCACAGAAACCCATGGCATTGTGTAGTCCACGGTATCCACAGGGGAGAGCTAATGGGCTGTATCAGTGTCTTACTTGTTCTTTAAAATCTGAAGAATTCTAGGTCAACTGAATAGCAGACTAACTCAAATTAATGAATCAGATCTGCAACCCTCAATCAATTCCCAGACTTGAGCCAGTTCACAGGCCCACAACCCCTGAAGGGAAGTATGCTGCTACATTGCCAAAAATTTACATTGTTAGTCTTCCTCCCAGTCTTCCCCAAAGGGACATATACAGCCTTCTACAAGGATGACTGTGACTTGGGGAAAAGAAAATTCTCAGATATTTGGGGAATTACTGGACACTGGCTCTGATTTGACACAAATTCCCAGAGACCAAAAACATCACTGTGGTCCACCAGAGTAGGGGCTTATGGAGGTCAGCTGGTGGATGGAGTGTTAGCGCATGTCTGTATCACAGTGTGTCCAATGTGTCCCTGAACCCACCCTGTGGTTAAAATAGACACATACTCAGCAACTTTCAGCATCCCTACGCTGGTTGTCTCAACTATGGACTGAAGACAAGTATGACAGGAAAGGCCAATTATAAGCCACTAAAACTGGTTCGACCTAGTAAAATAGAAAACCAGAAGCAAGAGTGCGTTCAGTGCTATGTAAATGCTCTCCAAAGGGCGGCCATAGTAGAGAAGAATTTCAGTAATCAAATGGATAGGATGACCTGTTCTGTGAACACCGCTCAACCTCTTTCCCCAGCCATCCCTATCATTACTCAGTGGGCTCATAAATACAGTGGCCATGGTGGCAGGGGCGGAGGTGATGCCTGGGCTCTGCAACATGGACTTCCACTCACCAAGGCAAGCTGGCTGTGGCTCTGAACCACCTCCATCACAGAAGGAGCAGTGTCTTGTTCTAACTGAAACAGATACTATGAATGAAAATTTCCCCTCCCACCCTCAATGCTGCCATCACCACTGATAAATTTTACTTCATAAAAATTACACTACTGTCTAGACTTACCAAATGCCTTATCCACCGTCATGGTCTTCCGTACTCATTGGTTCTCATCATCGCTATTACCCCTAGTAACATACTAGTAAAATTTTCATTTCCTGTAAAAATTTCATTTCCTCAATCTTATGCTCTGCTTGTCTAGAAGTCTTGGTTCCAAAAGGAGGAGTACATCCACCAGAATATAAAGAAATGATTCTACTAAACTGGAAGTTAAGATAGTCCCTGTTCACTTTGAGCTCCTCATGCCTCTGAATAAACAGGCAAAGAAGGGAGCTACCATGCTGGCAGGGGTGGTTGATTCTAACTACCAAGGGGAAATCGCTTCTACTGCACAGTAGAAGTAAGAAATAATACTGCTGGAATACAGGGAGTCTCCTAGGGTGTCTTCAGTGCTACATATGACCATGCCCTGGGTGATGAAAAATGAGAACACATGGACACAGGGAGGGGAGTACTAAACACTGGGGTCTATTGGGGGGAAAAGGGGAGGGCCAGTGGGAGAGGGAGGTGGGGAGGGATAACCTGGGAAGAAATGCCAAATGTGGGTGAAGGGGAGAAAGAAAGCAAAACACACTGCCATGTGTGTACCTACGCAACTGTCTTGCATGCTCTGCTCATGTACCCCAAAACCTAAAATGCAATAAAAAAAAAAAATTCACGGAAAACTACAACAACCCAATTCAGGCACAGCTACCAATGGCTCAATTCCTTCAGGAAGGAAGGTTTAGGTCACCACTCCATATAAAGAACCAAGACCAACTGAATTGCTTGCTGAAACCTAAGGGAATACAGAACAGGGAGTGGAAGAAGGTATAATTACCAACTAGGAACATGTGACCAGATATAAAATTAAGGACAGTAATTGTTGTGATTTTGACAAGGGAGACAAGGCAATTCAATAGAGAGTGAATAGTCTTTTCAAAAATTTCCTGGGACAGATGGATGTCCACATGTATAGACTGAAGTGAGTCCCCTCTCTCACACCATTTATAAAAATTAACCCAAATAGAGCAAAGACTTATATATAAGAGCCAAAAGTTTAGTACACATAGAAGAAGATATGGGACTAAGGTTTTATGACCTTGGATTAGGCAATTATTTTATAGATATGATACCAAAACCACGTATAAGAGAGAATATAGATAAACTGTACTTTATAAAAATTGCAAACATTTGTGTATCAAAGTAGAATCTCAAGAAAATGAAAAAAATTACTATGTGAAATAAACTGCAAATCCTATATCTAAGAAGAGACTTATATAAGAATATGTTTGAACATTTACAAATCAATAGTTAAAAAGGCAACAATACCATTTTAAAATGGGGAGATAATCTGAATAGACATTTCTCCAAAGAAGATATACAAGCAGCCAATAAACACAGAAAAATATGCTCGATCTTATAACTCATTTAAAAAATGCAAATCAAAACCAATGAGAAAGCACTCCACATCCGTCAGGAAGGCAATAACTAGAGTGACAGATAACAATAAGTATTGGTGAGACTGTGTAGAAACTGGACCCCTCGACAATGCTGGCAGGAATATAAAATGATGCTGTCCTTTGAAAAGCAGTCTGGCACCTCATCAAAAACTGAAACACGGAGTTACCATATAATATAGCAACTGCATTCCTAGATCTGTAATCAGGAGCAATGAAATTATGTGAAAAGCTTGTATGTGAGTGCTCAGAGCAGCATTATTTAGAATAGCCAAAAGGTAGAAATAACCTAAATCCCATAAATTGCACAAGAGATAGATAAAATGTGGTGTAGGTAAGTAACAGAAAAGAAGTCAAACATAAAGAGTAATGAGCTACTGACACATACCACGAACATGAATGAACCTCGCAAACTTTGATAGAAGTCAATCACATAAGACCCAGTGTTGTGTGACTTCATTTATATGAATGGTCTAGAATAGGCAAATCTGTAGACTGAAGGTGATTTCAAATTTCCTAGGGCAGAGCAGATCAGGGAAATGGGCCGTGGCTACTGATGGGTGCATGGTTTCTTCTGGGGTGATGAATGTTCTAAAATGATGGTGACAGCTACACAACTCTGTGAATATGCAAAAGACCCCTTGAATTGTACACTTCAAACAGATGGGCTGGATAGTATATAAATTATATCTTAATAAAACCTTATAAAAATAAAGAGAAGCTCTAGTTCACAGCTCCCTTGTGTTAGGTATAGTTCTATCACCAGCTTTTGCCAAAAGGAGACAAAGGACTAATATGAGCCACTTCCAGAGTTGGCCCACAAAAGTCTCCAATGCCTTTCTCACACTCTCCCCTTCTGCTGATAGATGCAGGTGGGAGGAGGTCTCAGGGATGACAGAAGCACCTGATGGAAGGACTCTAGATTCCCGCATGGCCACGTAGAGGGGAGCAGCCTCCTACCCTGAAACCCCAGCCAGCAATGTCCAGTGGGCCCAAAATATAATATGAAGTCAATGAAATCTGGGGGAGTCATCTGGTACTTCAGCACAATACAAATAATGCATCTACTTAAAAACTTGGTTGGGTGCTCAGGGCATCACCATAACGAAGAATTTACATCAACTAATGGGCAAAACAGCCAGCCAGCATTAAATAGAAGTATTAAACTCATATATATCAATATCAATCCCAAATTTAAATGTACTAAATGCCCCAGTCAAAAGACACAGACAGGCAAATTGGATAACCCATCAGTATGCTGCATCCAGACCCATCTCACATGCAAGGATACACAAAGTCTCAAAACAAAGGGATGGAGGAAGATTTATTAACCAAATGGAGGGAAAAAAAAGTAGTAGTTGCAATTCTCATCTCTGATAAAATAGACTTTAAAGCAACAAAGACCAAAAGAGACAAAGAAGGACATTACATAATAGTAAAAGGATAAATGCAACGAGAAGAGCTAACGATCCTAAATATATATGTACCCAATACAGGAGCACCCAGATACATAAGGCAAGTTCTTAATGACTTAAAGAGACTTAGACTCCCACATAATAATATTGGGAGACTGTAACA